TAAACACATTTCATTACACCAAATACACAAAATAATGTTCTTTTTAGCAACATCATATGACCCCTTTAAGCAGAATACAACAGCATTTCACAGTTAAAGAAACTTATTTAATATACTGTTTGCATAAATTAAGAGAGAAACCCATAGTGTTAAGCATAATATTTAGACAGCCCAAAACCACATTAATAATAACAATTAGTATTACTATTGTCAACAACAAAACATAATTAATAATAATAAAACCAATATTATTAATAGTAATGCCTATTAATAATATCAATATTGCATATTCTGTTGTTGAAGTTACTAATATTGTGTCAAAAATCGGAAAGAATATAAAAATCAGTTCTGCACAGTGGTTTCCAGACACTTAAAAATCAGTATGTTATCAGACGTTAACAAAAAAATAGATTGATCTTTAGAACAGGAGCTGTTAAACATAAATGACCTTAAAGATCTAAAAAGTGTATAATCAAAGGAGCAAGACTGAATCAAAACAAAATTAAAAGGCCAAATGAAGGTCACGCCCCCTTCATAGACGTTACATCATGTAAGTAACACGTAACATCTCTATGTAAGAGCAGAAACGCTGTAAACCTGCAAACAATCACTCATCGGCTACTCTAATTGTTCGGTACGAATATTTATGTGTTTAAGCATATTTCTAAAAGTTTATAAATGTATCTTTACCGACAGGTTGATATGTAGCTGACATTAGCCGTTTGTTTACATTCGATTTCTTTCACTCACCTGTCCACAATCTGCTGCATCACAACCGCTCCCTCTTCTGCCATATTTACATGAGTCCACGGCACTTAATTAATGGCTGAGAACTAAAGTATGACAATGTTTCAATATTTTAATAATGGAGATTTAATCGTCAGGCCGCAGTGAATCTTAACGCCGTGTTAAACACGCATATGAGCGTCTGTCATTAAACAACCGCTGGAATCCGATTATAAACCATCGAGACTGATTATTACAAACCGATCTATTAATGAATTCTCATAAATGTCAGTAATTCCAGAAACACACAGCGACTCCATTGACTGCGCGTGAGAAAACGCGAGCGAACGCAACAACGCGCTTGTGCGAGCGTTAACTTGACTCTCGCGAGAGCACATGTGCACTCTGGGACGTGTAGTCTTCATTTCATGTAGCCAAAAATATAACAATTTATGTTTTGGCAGAGGCAGGCAGCCTAGAGCAAGAGGGACTACGCCTGCTGGAGCAGCATGAAGATACATATTTGGCTTCAGAATACCTCGTACTGTGGTAAGGAGAGTCAACATATTTCAGTACAATGATTTGAATGCATTTGATTTAACATGACAGAGCAGAAATAACAAATATGATTAGTGAGAGCTTCAGTCATTTCCCATTTCATATAGCATATGGTTAGGTAATTATGTGGTGTTTGTTTACTGCTGATGTGTTTTGATTTTGATCCTTTCTTTTGTTCATTTTGCTTTTATTGACTTCATGAGACTTGAAGTGACAAGCATCTTCTGCTGTTTTCTGTCAAATGAACTCTACTATTCTCCTATAGGAAAATTCCTCATAATTGACCCACATTGAAAAGCTTGGCCAGTTGGTTACTCCTGGTCAAATTCAATCACTTTTAGCATTTTATCCTATTTTCTGTAAGTCGTTAACTTAGGCTTATTAGTATTAGTTAATGAATAGCTATCTTAGAGCTGTAATTTACGTTCATTATTTCATAAATAAATTCCCATTATGACAGGAGCAGTGAATATGAAGCCAAGTGGCAGATTTGCATGTTAATTTTTATATTATCTTGATATTTGATATAATACAATCTTGATTGTGCCTACAACCTGACAATGTATAGTCGTGAATGCTTTTTAAAGATTTTAAATGATCAATTAAAGATCATTTTGATAGTTTTGTTATGCATTTAAACATTGTAACTGTCACAAAATCTGGCTTAATAATGAGTTATAAAACGGATAGGTCTTGTCCTGGCTTCTCATTGTCCAGTGAAGCATTCCATCATGTTAAAATCCATAATATATCAACAGCTATGACACAAAACCTGTTCATCATATCACTGCGCAGCTCTTATAGCATATTGTTTTTGTCACATATATAAACGTTCTGTTATGTCAGGTATATCTTCTATCATAAGGGGGCTACACTTTGTTAAATAAAACAATAGTTTCTTTAAAAATGGTGTCTTTCATATTTTAATTGACCTATATAAAGGCCAAACCCTCAGGACCAAAATATATTGTAGCCTAAAGGGCTGAAAAGGGTTAAACTGTGATTTGCATGTTATAATATATTATAAGCTTTACAACATGACATATAGTGCTTTTAATGGCTGTATTGACCGAAAAACTACAATTCCCACAATACCTCAGTGCATCAGCCATGCGCCGCAGTCAATCAGCTGTTGAGGCGACTGCAGAAGTGCAGCTCATCTGTCATATCAAAACCCGGGCGAGACAAACAGAAATAGCCTTATTTACAGAATCCCAAAAGGTGAACGATAAGGTAAAGTCTGATTCATGTACAGCAGGAAAAACGAAAGCAAAAGAAAACAAATCAACCCATCAGATGCATGTTATGTGTGTTTAATAATAGCTACTATGAGTTGTGTGCGGCGGATTAAAGTGCTGGATTTGATTTCTGTCCCTTTCCAGTAACCCGGTGCATTATAATATACATGCATGCGTTGTGACGGTATAAAGCAATATTATTTACTGTCTTTTAGATGGTCAGCGCGTGCTCTGAAGTGATGATTTCTATAATGACCTTGAATATGCAGCTCTAATGCAGCAAAACGAGGATTAACGGACGGAATATTTGGCAGAAACTCTCTTCATCTTGTTACGATCGTCTATTCTGATTAAAATTTGATTAAAGCTTGAGTTCATAAATCCAGCAGACTCGCTGAAACTGTCGCATTCTCGGCCTGTTTTTCATGGGAATATATTTGGCATCGTAGAAACCCTCAAGAGGTATGTAGAAATCGATGTACTTTTTCAATATGGTTGAGTATAATATCTTTCCGCTCGATCTGTTTTGCATACAGAAATGGCAGGCTAGACCTTCATAAAATAGTTTTTAAAAAATCCATGAGACATAATTCCTAAAGGGTGCAAAATAGAGATATGTCTCTCGAGTATGTCACATTAAGTGTGATACAGGCAGATTTACAGTCATGATGTGAAAAAATAAATAATAATAATAACCTCCCGACCTTTGGGATTTCTGTTGCGTAGATGTTTTGTGCAGCATTGCTGGGTGTAACCCAAGATCCTGCAGCAAATATAACCTAGTTGCTGAGCTGTGCCATGGACTGTTGTACACCAAGTCAAAATGGCTGAACACTTTGCAAACTTATGCTTAGAACTGTACATGGTTTTTATTTTATTTTTTATTGCATTTTAGGTTTAGAGAGCTAGATGTGTAGGCGACTTTACTGATTGTATAAATAGGCTACACAAAAAAGATAAGATGCAAAATAATTTGCACTACATACATTACAATAAATAGTTAAATTTGTGAGAATAAACATGTAGACATCATAGAAATAAACTCGTTTGACACTATTATGCACAAAAGTTATTGCACATTATATTGTATAGGGATTAAGTCACGTGAAGTATCAACTTGTATTCTGTAATGCATTGAATCAACTCAATTAATTACTACTAGCACCAGTAGTGTTTTAAAATGTAAGTCTGCAGAGAAACTTTTGTGTTTACGCTAACTGTCATTCGTCAAAAGTAAACGTCGTGAAGTCTTATACCAAATGACTGTGCACACTTAAAAGTAAATTCCTCTTTTCCTCGTATATTTATGCGATTAAACTCGCGTCTCTTTTAACCTTGCTGAAGGACGCAGCTGTATTTATTGACGTATGCAAATTGAGGGGCGAAAAAAAAAAAAAAAAAAAAACAGGAACAAGAATCAGTTTCTCGTTTCTGTCTGGAGTTCCGGTGAGAGAAAAACAAGACGTGGCGAAAATTGTTGAATATCGGTGACCTCCGAGCTTTTCTCTCCTTTATTCGTGTTGTGAGGGGGACAAAAGCGGAGTACAGACAGATCCCGATAGCTACATGGCTGATCAGGGGCTCATTAATAATAAAACTCCCAGCCCGATCGCTGTGATCAATAATAACTGATCATCTGTTTCAGCTCAAAACATGCAGGATGATTTACTGATGGACAAAAGCAAAGCTCAGCCCCACCAGCATCAAGAGCCGTCAAATACAGAGCCTCCATCCACCCCGACCCCCTCCGAGCCTCCGGTCCTGGACGAGCAGAACCACGTCGGTCACTCCGAGCGGGTCGCCATGGAGTCTCCGGTGTTACCGGGTTTGGGTTTCCCTCAGGAGTCCTCTCTCTCGCCGTCGTTCGGCAGCACTTGGTCCACCAACACCGTAGACGAAGGCTTTTTCCAAGGGATTCCGTCGGTAAACGGGACGATGCTTTTTCAAAACTTTCCCCATCACGTTAACCCGGTGTTCGGAGGTAATTTTTCCCCGCAGATGAGAAGGTCTCCGCTGAGTGTGAACCAGAGGAACCCCTACAGCCACCAGACCCTCATCAGTAAAGTGTCCGCATCGTCCGCTTCTTCGTCCGCCTGGAATAACCACCAGAACGCGGTGTGGAGCTCCGCGGCGAACCCCTGGAGCGGCAGAGACCCGCGGAGAGCGCTCGGGCTGGGCGTCCCGTCTCCGCTCAACCCCATCTCCCCGACGAAGAAGCCCTTCCCGAGCAATGTCATCGCGCCCCCGAAATACCAGAGACCCGGAGCCCTGCAGAAACCCTGGATGATCGCAGAGCCTCCGGAACCCTTCAGAACCGACAACAGCAACAACATGCTGCCATTTCAGGTGAGATTATTTTGTATATAAACATAGGTGTGTAATGCATTACAATAGGACATAATAAATTGTTTATCCGTGTGTTATAATAGGAATAAAACTTTTTTTATTTTTTTATATATGTACATTTTTATAGAACGTATGAATATAATGGTAAATAATATGATAAATAATGCATAAAAGTATTCATAAAATAATATTTGCAGACATCATCTGCATTTAAAAGTCGTAAAACATAAGTTATAGACTTAATTTATCATAAAACGTCATTTATAGACATCATAATAATCATAAAACTATTTATAGATTTAATAAAACACTGCAGATTTAGTTTTTTTTTCATGTATTGAATGAAATTACTGTGGCCACATTTCTACAGCTGAGACCCAAAACCTCTTTATATACTTATAATTCACAGAAATGCCAATTATTCTGATATCTCTTATGTATTTATCTGACTGTAAGGACGAGTTGTTTTGAATTATTTTCCAGCTGTTTCTATAAATGTCACTGTAAGGTGGAAGGGTTCAAATTCCCATCAGAGCCTCTCCTGCAGCTCGTTTAGGGGCGTTTAAAGGGAACACAACTCAAATCTGATTGGTGCTTGTTGAATGAGGGGGCGGGGCCTGTACTGGCTGTCATGAACGGAAGCATTGCATACTGTTGACACAGTGATACTCTCAGATATTATTATTATCATCTCAGTTCTTAAGATTGTAAAACCATTATCGGATTCTGCTGTGTTACAATGTTTTTCTCCATAATTGTGAGAAATTATAATGCTCATGAATGTTTGTTTTTTTGATGAGTCATGCACACTGATAAACAGAGTTTGTTTATATTGCACTTTGTTAATGTTAATGAACTTCAGTAAAAACTTAGTGAACCGAATCAATTCTAAATTGAAATTTGTAGCAAAAATACTGAGCATGAGAAGCAATTAAAGGAGTAATTCATTTTATTTGCATTTATTTTTAGAATGCAGCTTTTGTCTTTGAAAAGCTTGATTTTGATTGAGCCTGTGAGGTTCATCTGCTTGTAAATGGATAATTTCTGATTTCAAATATCTTAGTGGATTTTGTAAATATTTTGAATTGATTTGTTTGAATGTACATCTCTGTGTTCCTAAATAAACTGCACTAGCTTATATCACCAATATCACCATTTCCATTCAACCTTGGGCATTGAAAAACACATATTAGCCGACCACTAGTGTTTTGTTTTTTTTTACATCAAAAGTGTTATTTTAAGTTTGATTTCATGCACTTATGCCCACAATGCTGTCAGTTTCCTGATATTGTAGATCAGTTTTGTCATCATTACGTGAATGTCTGCAATGCATACAATACCCTCATTAAAAACAAATCAAGGGCGTTTCATGCCTCCATTGATGTAAAGTAAATAAAGCAAACTAAACAATAAAACAAACTTAAAGTATTTGACAGACAACAGTTTAGGAATATATGTAGTTTATAGTTTAGTAGGTAAATTATATAAGGTATGCAAGCAGGCTGCCACAATGCAAGATGTGGGGTGTGTGTGTGTGTGTATATATATATATATACGTGTGTGTGTGTGTGTATATATATATATTTATTTATTTATTTATTTATTTAATTATATTAGGGCTGCACGATTATGACAAATCATAATTGTCGATTATTGCCTTGAAATTGTAATTACAATTATTAGTTAACATAAGTGGACTTTGAACGATTAATTGCCGCTTTGAATGATTGCATAATTGTGCCATCCATAATTGTAAGCGCGATTAGAAATTTGATTAATTGTGCAGCCCTTATATATATATATATATATTTCTAGTCATGTATGGACCAGTGCTATTTTAGTATTAGTTATATATTATTATAGTATTTATTAATATTTTCATTTTAATTTTAGTATAAGTTTTAATAATTTTGTTATGTGCTGTTGTAATGTTTTAATTAGTTTTTTTGTTACAATTTTTATTTAACTTTGTTTTATTTCCATTTCTCTCATTTTAGAACTTTAACTTATTATTAGTAGCCAAAGCAACATTTCTAATTTTCAATTTTTCTAATTCGCAAAAGTTTTATCTTAATATTAGATTTAGATTTAATTTTATTTCAGTTAACAAAAAGGATTTTTAATAGTTTATTTTTATTTTATTTCAGATTTACCCACCCATAAATGACATAAAAACAAAACAAAAACTGTGGTTGGTCACTACATATCAGTCAGTTCTTCTTGTCTATGTGGGTGGGTTTTTGGTCAAAATAAGCTACAGAAGTGTAAAATGTTGCGGTTCAACACTAAATACATTCATAAAATTGCTACTGAACTGTGAAAAACATGTAGAAGACATTCAACACTATTTCTGGCATCCAGTTTGTGGGTGTTTGTTAGATCTGAACTTGGCCCTATAACCTCAGGGCTGATGCTAGTTTGAAAGGCTGTGAAATAGTGGTGGAGTAGCTCATCTCTAACTTCTGACCTTTGACCCAGTCCTTCTGTCTTTCAGGAACGGAATCGACCCTTTGACCCATTCAACTTGCAAACTTTGGAGAATTCCTTAATGGACATGATTGGAACAAACCATGACAAAGGTAAACATCACCCTGCTGCTGGCCCACCAGTGACTATCGCTGATATTATATGGAGGAATCATTTTGCAGGTTAGGACTATTTATATATCCATGCTTCTGTCTTCTTTTAGCCTCTAAAGATTCAAAGCACTTGGCTTCAATTATGGTTATTTGTTTCTTTTGGTATATTTTTCTGCCACTATATTTTAATGTTGAAATTTTCTTTCAGTAATTGTTGCAAAATATTGCGTAAATATTTTAAATAACATAATACACACTACTGTTCAAAAGCTTGAGGTCATTAAATGTTTTTTTAAGTACTTTTGTTGAGCAAGAATGAATTAAATTGATCAAACTGACAGTAAATACATTTACAATGTTTTCTATTTCAAATAAATGCTAAAATATTTAGCAGCACAACTGTTTTCAACATTAATAATAAGAAGAAATGTTTCTTGAGCAGCAAATCAGCATATTAGAATGATTTCTGAAGGATCATGTGACACTGAAGACTGGACTTTAGGTTTTTCACGTCAATTCTTCCATAATTTTGACCAGTACCATATTCAGTGATTCTGCACAGTCCATTTGCTGAAGGGAAAGTTTAGAAGCTTCTGGGAAATTCTGTCATATGATGTTTTTAGATCACGCTAGTGTCTCATGGGACATCATGAGAGATGGCTTCCCTCTTGTAGACAATGGTAGCGTGTAAAACAGGAGGAGAGGGAAATTGTTTTTATGTGCTGGATGCATGGAGAGTCACATCAGGGGCCCCGTCTCAGGTGCAGAGCTGTTTTTTCAGATTTCGGTCGGAGAATAGCTGTGAAGAGCTTCATTGTGGGAATAGATTTGGGTAGTTGTGGGTCGAATGTGTCTGTGAGAATGAATCTGGCAGTTACAGGATCTGAATTCTTGAGTGATCACCCCTGGAAAGGTAGAGCAGAAAATCCTGACCGACTACCAGACAACCTGGCGAACTGCTCAGGTGAGCAGGTGTTAGTAATGTAGTGTAAAATTTTTTAGACAGAAAAAAGACGGCACAAATATTTGCATCAAACCCATCTTTCTTGGAACTTCTAAAGTCCTTTCCAAACGTTTCCAATTAAATTTCCAAAGAAACCTGTTCCCATCCTGCATCTGCATGAATAGTGCTTGTGTTTCTTATGGGAACTGCGTTCAGTCACTGCAGTTTCGGCATCGTCATGACATTGATGTTGTTGTTGATCAGGTTACAAGAGGTCATTAGCAGATCAATCAGTCTGTTGTTTTTCTTTAAACTTTGGTTTTCTGGTATGAAACGGAAATTGTGATAATCTTTTCTTCCCTATTGTGATGAATATCCAAGTAAAATGGGGGTGGAAAAATGTAGGGTGGAACTTTATATTGTCCATTGGGAATTGTTTTTTTTTGGATTGTTGTCGTTTATTAATTGCATGAATTAAAAATAATAATGTGCATGAATAAATAATTTATAACAGCAGTATTCCATAAAAAAATAAGAAATTACAATTTTGATTTCATGGTTACATTAAAGGTTACATTTCATGGTCATATCATGAAAAATCTTTTTTTGTTGATCTTTTGCCATCAAAACTGTATTATGAACACAAACTAACAGTAAGTCAAAATATCATCTCAAGTTTTATCTGTTGATATTAAACCAAGCACCCTCATTTCACATGTGAGCAGGGCCGGATTTACCACTTTTCGTGACATAGGCAAAACAAATTTTTGGGCCCCCCTTCCCTATTAATATAATAGGCCTAACATTAGCTACCACCCAAGCAAACAAAAATATTTCTTAATCAGTGGAAACCGGTACAGTGTTTTCTATCGCAATAAGCGCTTGCGTTCAATGAATAAAAATCCAATGTAGTTTTAGAACTGAGAAAGACCATTCCATGTGCAGCGTCGTGGCCACATAACAACTTCAGGAGTGCATTATCTCTCTAATAATTTTAACGGCCTGGAGTCACAACCACACATCAAGACATTAAGATGATTTATTTCAAGACATTTGTCATGTTTCCGTCCTGAAATCTCGTGTGTGTTGAACTCATATTTTATGTATTTTACATAAACCTTCCATTGCAAATTCCAAAACGTCATTTTAGAGTTAATAACAGAGGCTTGAGCCATTGATATGCAGGCTAATGCAGTTATTAATGAAGTCTAACGCACTTGGAGAGAGAGAGAGAGAGAGAGAGAGAGAGAGAGAGATTAAGCGCGTGTGAATACGTGCGTCTGTGCGTCTCTCAGCAGTGTACAGCCGCAGCGTCTACTAATAGCGAATCTTTAAGTTAAACTGCTTCAAGAACCTCCCTACTGAGAAACGCCATGTAGCTTTTCAGCTGCGAAATTATTTTATTGATAAATTTGCGGGGCAGCGCTGACAGCAAGTTTCTGTTCGCGTCTCCGTGTGTGTGCGCGTGTGTGTGTGCATCTGTGAGAGAGAACGAGAGAAAGAAAGCCTTATTTCCGTAGCCTACATAAAAAAAGGTAGAAGACATGGAAATATTTTGTCATTTTTTTACCCTAGTGTTTGTTATATTTATTTGCTCAATGTCTTCTGGGGTTTTGGTTCTTTTACTGTTGTAGATAGCCCATAGTATAACAAAAATATTACATATCTCTTCATTGTGTTTGGGCCCCCTGGACGAGCGCGCATAGGCACGTGCCTAGAATGCCTATGCGTAAATCCGGCCCTGCATGTGAGGGTGTTTAAAAATACGTCTTAAAGGCACAGCGGCAAAAAATACTTGTTTATTTAAAAAGGGGGTGTAACAAAGTTCGTAGTTCGGGAAGAAGGAGGCGGGAACCGGCCGAGCCTCCATGGCGGCAGACTGCTCCGCCATGCTCGATGGCACCGCGGATTCACCACAGCGGCGAGGGATCTCTGGCAGCGTGTCCCTCCTTCCTCCCGGGTTTCGGCACCAATGTAACAAATTTCGTAGTTCGGGAAGAAGGAGGCGGAAACCGGCGGACATTTAAATAAAGCTTTAATAATAAAATAAACACAAAACAGTGCGACAGCCCCTCGCGGATGACTGTCGCGCATAAACAAAACCAAAACACAAAATAAACTCCAGGCCTGGTC